GCGAAGGCGGACATGGAGGTTATTGCCCGTACTGCTGGCAGAACTTCCCGCGCCATCGTGATCTTGCACACCATTGGCATCATCTTGTTAAACGGCAAGCCAAGGATGGACGGTACTGTAGTANGTGCACGCTTCGGTGTGAGACCGGAGATCGGTGGTACTCCCGCTACTGGCTATGGGGATATTGCATCGTCGTCAGACCGCGGCGGCGAAGACGATGACATGATGATTGACGACGGCGGTGATTTTGGCGGAGATGATGCGGATGGTAACAGCGGCGGGATTGATGTAGAAGTCGACGCTGGTGGAAGTGTTGGTGAAAGCCGCATTGGCGCAGGATCTGGCCTGGCGGGGGGCGACGACGAGGGTTTCGGCCAGGGAGGACCTGCCCACCATCACGAGGATGACATGTCCTCCGCCGGCGACGGCTCACCATCCCTGGAGGGTGTCGAGGTTGAGGGAAACGACCCTGGTTACGAGAGCTCTGAGTCTTGGGCCGGCGCACGAGAGGATGTCGGGGCGGGGGTTGATACCGAGGATGACGAAGACAGGGGCTCATTGGGCGACGAGCGCAGCGACGACGACGATGATGACGGAGCGGGACGTGGTGGAAAGGACCATGCCGGCGTAGGACACAGCATGGATACCGCCGACCCCCATAAACAGGCGAGTATTTCGGAGCGTTCTTCTGGTGGCGGATCGTCCTCGGGAGTTGAACACGGCCAGCCACCGCCTCGGGATGACCCGAGATGGATGTCCAACATTGCCGGCACCGTCGGTAACCGCCTTAACGCTACTGTGATGGAAGGTGGGCATACCAAAACCAAGCTACGCCAGTTAGGCACACGGACTCAGGAGTGGCGCCCGTTCAAATCTCTGACAGAAATTTTGCTGTTCGTGTTCGGCGTCAAGCATCAACTATCGGGGACGGGAATGACGGATTTGTTCGACATCTTGACGTTCGTCGATGGGCAGCCGGGCGACGGGGCCGGGGAGGGGAGAGGGTTCGACACCGCTGACGTCCCCGAGAACGGCCAAAAGTTCGTTTCTCGGATGCGCGAGTTCCTCCCTCTCTTTGAAGTGTGGGTGCGCGATGTCGTGGCCAAACCCGCCAAGAAAAAGAGTGGTGCTCGAACCACAGCGAAGGTGTATGACATCCCCATTACACAGGTCCTCGATCTCATGCTGAAGTCGAGATCTCACATGGAGGAGATATTTGCCAACCCTGGCGGCGCGGTGGTGGGAAAAGAAGAGGGACAGAAGCTTGGGTTAGCAGGCGAGCATCTTTTTCCACTCCCGACATGTCCTGCCCGTAACGCTAGGCGCAACAACATGCACGGCACCTTGGTGCAACGCATGCCACAGCACAACTTCGATGGTTTCCTCGCTCAGGCTCGCACAAAGGTGTACGAAGGAGATGTCGTCATGTGTGACTTGCGAGATGAAGGCTCGCCGGACCCGCTTCAGACGCCCTGCCGAATAACAGCGACGTTCTTCGTTGAAAAGAGTAGGCGACTGGTGGTCACCGTGCGACTTTTCCGGGATGCTCATGAAGTGCTCGGAGTGGCCCACGACGACCCTGCTTTTGTGCAGGATGGGGTGGTTCGAGTTTGGGAACAGGTGGGAGATGCATCTGAGACCGATCTTCGCGACATCACGCAGGTGCTTGACCGGGTAGAAGTTTTCACCCGAGCGGAGTTGCGGGATGGTGCACACCTTCGCCCGTGGATAGGGGCGGGTACACGGCGGGAGGGATGGACGTTTGCGGGAGAGGGCTTTGTCACGCGTCGTGGACACCGCTTCGTGAGAAGACGGGATCCATTCAAGGAGGGCGGATGCGTCGAGCGGGCAGCGAAGAAGAGAATTACGCAGACATGAAAAGCGCTGACGTTATCCACAACGCTTTGAACCTCAAGTTCATCAACTTGCCTATCGGCTATTCGGCGGATGACTTCAACGCTTTCGGAATGGCGACCCCGGTGAGTCAACAAGGTTTTGGAGTTTGTGTGTACAGTTTTTTGCTTTTTCTCTCGGTGTTGGTTTTGCCGCCAGTAGCCCCCCCCGCCCCCGCCCCCCCCCGGTGTGTGCCATCGGAGTTGGATCCTCGTCACTTGGCAGCGATGTCGTAAAACAAGCCAATCACTTCGAGTTCTCGGCAACCAGGTTACCGTTTTTTTTTTCCCTGTTTTTTCTTTATTGCTGTAGCCATGAGTGGTGTTGGAGTAGATTTTGTTGTGCGGGGTCGAGAACCCTCACTCCGCGCAAGGGGGATAATCGCACCACGTTGTGTTACAATGGTATCCCACCCTCGAGGCAGTTCCGCAATGCTTACAACTGTCTCTGGAAGTGAAAGCACTAGAAAATATAATAAGCCATACGCAGCTTTCATCGTACGCAATGAAGTAAGCACAAGATGCCGAACACCCTTAGTAGGATGCAGCGCGCCCTTCATGCGACTCGCCGAATACCTCACGGCCCTTCACGCTTGGTGATGTGAGAGCCTGGTACGGTGATAACCCGGCGTGCTCCGTCCCGTCGTTGTAGGGATGCGAGGTCAATGGTCTACAAGACTACGGCATGCACGACTATGAGTACCCCCCCCCGCCCCCGTCGCCTGCTCATACCCTCGAATGATTATCGCCGCCGTGTCTGTGCCGTGCCCGTATCGAAAACGTGGAGATTGTCCTGGCACCATAGACTGCCTGCACCACCCCCTATCTGTGCAGCCCAAGGGAACCGTTGCGTATGTCTGGATGCACTTAGTACTGATCGCGCTTGAGCGAGAATGCGTCAATCTCTGATGCGGTGGATTATTGTCGGGTGGTTTTGGCTTAGATTGTATTGTTTGGCAACCGCAAAATAAAGCACACGCTGCGTTAGCGATCCTTTCGCCGCCGTCAGACTCATGGTTATATTATTTTCTTTCCCTCCGCTCGCGAAATGTACACGATCGGCGTTACAGTATTCGGAGGGGGCGGGCTACTGGCAGTTGCTGACGCTAGATCGGCGTTTGCTTCGACGTAAGCGCTGACTTCATGCGACAACGACGGCAGAACCTGGTGCGTGTTATGACGGAGCCATGGCGTTTTCGGCAGGTGTTCTTCGCGAGCTCGAGAAAGGTTGCTACACAAAAATCGTCGAACCTTCTGGTGGCGTCCGGGGAGAGCGCTGCGAGTGCACGGTGAGACTGAACTGTGCACCCACGTCTTGCGAACGCGCTGTCCACCTCCACACCGAAATATCTGTCTGTGTCGTTTCCTCATGCAGGACTCGTGGAAAAGATAGAAGCATACATTTCCAACCAACGCTGCGTAGTAGGTCGCCAGGTATTGCTTCCTTTTTTGGTAAATCATTGCCACGCTGAGAGAGGCGCGACAAGCTGAACAAATAAGCAAGCAGGCGGCAGATGGCACGCAGCCTCTCAAGTTGCACGAATGTAGACCATTTTGTGATGTACACATATTTGTCGATCGATGGTCCGCGTTTGTTTGTATTTTTGCGGGGTTCCTCTTGCGGAATATCGTCTGATCGTCTGTCTAGAGGATGTTTGTCCGCAGCTG